CGAAAACGACGATCCGTTCGATCTCCGGTTCGTCTCGCGCTCCATCTCGCTTACCCCCTTCGGGACCGGTACTTGCGCTCCCCGTCACGTGAAGTCGACTCTGTACCTTGTCTTCGTGTTGCCGGTTTTCTTTCGGTTCAGCCATTGGTACCCCACGTCATCGATTGGTTGCGCTGAACGCCGGTTCCACAATGAGGTAGTCGCAGCCACTTTGGGTTCCTTCGACGGGATCGGGAGATCCGTTCAGTGGGAACGCGAGGAAAGTGTCCGTAAGTAACCATTTGGCTGTAGTAACATAAACGAGTTTAAAAAAAAAAAAATAGTGATCTTCGAAAAACATTTCAAATTTTTATTCAGAGAAGTAGGGTTGGTCCGATGAGATTGTAGGCGATGGAAGTTCTCTTTTCTGTACCATTTGTATTTTATTTCACATAGAAAAATGTTATAAAATAAAATACGTAAAACAAATTCGTTTTTCTCTACGTTTAATCGGTATCAAACTACTATAATCGGCATTGAATTATTACCAGCCAGCTTTAGAGTACAATCGCGTAAAAATAATTCATAGAGATCCATGGCCAGTCAAAGTTTGTACGTATGTATTCGTACTTGGATATAAAAGAGCGCGTGTGAATAGAGCAGCACTTATAGAACTATATGTGATAATTTTATTTGTGGAATCTCTGTCTTATAATAAAACTTTCTCTTATAACAATCTTGACGTTGATCAAAATGATAGTTAAATTTTTTACAAGTTATGAATGTTCGAGGATTGATTAAATTTTAAAACGCTGATTAATTTATTCGATCGTTCGTTCATTTTTAAAATTAGAATTTTCTAGGAGTAGATAGATTAAATTTAAAATGCATGAAAAATCTATATTCTAAAATGGTAAAAAGCTATTAGTTTAGATTGAAAAATATAATTTAAATATTGTCGACCCCAAGTTGATTTAAATTATATCTAAGATTAAAATTACTTAAAAGATTTATTGAAAATAACGTTGTGAAAAAGTGTACATAATTTTGTAAATTCTCTTTGCATATTGAAGAAATTATTGATGCTGGAGGCTAAAAAAAAAAAGACATTTTCCCTATATATTTAAACACAAAAGTTGAGCTGACAAGAATATATATTCATTAGAAAAGTCAATACTTTTTCATCGTTTATGTTGTTTAATAATGAACAATAACTTTATAAGAACCCGAGTTTCACAGTTAATTAAAAACTTTAACTTATTGGGTTAACCACCCCTTCGGTCGATTGCATGTTAATCGATCTTGTTACAAACTTGCTCTTACAAATAATTGAAATACCAGATGACATCTTCTGACTGAAATACTCTCCTTGGTGACACTTCCGTACATTCTTTGGCGTCTAATATCTCTAAACATAACAGTTCTCGTTGTTCTATAGGTAAAGGACCGTGCTGATCCCCGCGATCGGTCCCGTGGGCGCAGGAAATAGGCGAGAGAGGAGGGTGGAAACGAAGGAACTAGGCAGGCAGGGAAGCAGCGGGCTCGGTGAGTTGGGTGAAAATCGATGGCCATCAGCGCCCATGGGCGGCCTCGCGTTTAGGACAAGGAATAGCCCCTCCCAGAAGACCTCGCTCCGGTGGGGTGACTGCTGCCCCCCAAATCCCAACCAAGCGTCGTCGTCGGTCGTCTGGAAGCATCGTCTTCAAGAAATGCCGCCGGTGCCCGTGTGAGGCTGCCCCCCGCTGTTGCGTGATTGTACCTCGCGGGGATTTCAAAGGTAAACCTCCACCCCTGATATTTAGACCTCGCTCCTGAGTAGAAATTTCGATAATTTTTGTAATTTTAATAACACTTTAATTCTCTTTCCTTATTTTTGTTTGAAGAACAAAGAATGATAAAGAATAAGAGAATAAGAGATCGAAATCAAAGAAGCTTATATGCCCCGTAAGATGAACTCTTAGCAACCGTGCTTTTTATGGTTTCGGTATACAAAATGCACACATTCCTTTATGTTTCTTCTTTACTTTTCCCTTTGATTTTGAAACGTATCCTGCGATGCTTTGTTATTATTTGCAAGGTGAATTTTTCTTATTTACCAATAAAATATGCTTTTATTTCTTTTGATCTCGCTTCGAAAAACTATCTTTTAAAACTGCATTTTTGTGTTTTATTCTATAAATTGTAATCTTATTCTTTTCTTTCGTAAGGAAAGAGTCATCCACGGAAAGAACGATTCTATTGAAGAGCATTTAAAAATTTCCACACATTTGGAAATGATTTTGTTGCATCATTGAAATTATTATGAAGGAAACTTAAGTATGATGAATAATGATACAAGAGGTTTATGGCCGGTATTCACAGTCGATTCTTATTTCAAGACCGTCTTAAGTAATGTCTTAAGATGCTAATGCGACTGTCTGATTGGTTCATGATATTTCAAGATTGAACTTAAGACGGTCTTGAATATAGAAATCGAATACTATGAATACCGGTCTTAACATTCAAGCAACAAGCTTGAGCATTCTCTATAATTATTTTGATAGTCCAACAAAATTATTTTCTAATCTGTATCTAACTTTAAATATATTTCGGTAAAACCCTTTTTTAATTTCCTTTTTTGTTCTATTTTACGCCGAGTAAAGTGCGTTAATCGAAGCTACATCCTTTTTGAAGCCGAATCGAGCGGCGGCGCCTCGGGTAGACCGCGCCTAACAGGATTAGAGGGTGAACTCGGTTGAACGATTTAAATACCCCTCGGGTAGAAACATAATATTTGCGCTTAGCTGCACTTGTTGGGCGCAAGCGTGACGGTCACGGTGTTAATCAAGTGGAAGATTTTAATACACTCTCTACGCGAAATTGATAAGTTCTTTGTAAAACCAACGCCAACACTGAGAAGTTTTTTGCATCCGTTAACATCTTCGGTCGCGGCGACTAAAGGGAGAGAATTCGCATATTTATCTTTTTTAATTAAAAAAGCAATTAACAAAAGCAATTAGCTTGGCACTTAAAAATGTATCGCATTATTAAAAAAAAAAGAATTTAAAAAGTCAATTCTTATAAATAAAATTGTAAAATTTAATTTAGACTATACACGAAGTAAGATGACGAACGAATAAAATTTATTCCATTGATATTGAAATAGCTTCTAGATAGAAATAATTTTTATTTTGCGATTTTTCTTCCATTTCTTCTTTCTTTGTTATAGTTTTTTAAATAATTTTTTCAATTATATAAACATAATATTTTTCTCAAAATGCAAAATATAAAAATTTTTGTAATTCATGATAATATCAAAAAATTGGAAAGAATAAGAGCGCCAAGAGTTAGGCGCAGAAGACGTCGCGTAAATAATACATCTATGAAGCGTGAAAATTCTTTATTCACTAAACGCGCTTACATGTTTCGACTCACTTTTGAGCCTTCTTCAGAGCAAACACAAACTAACATATGTAAACTAAAAGTTATCCTGTTATGGTGAGCTTCCCTACATCGAGAATTTAAATGCCAGAATTAAACAAAACAAAAAAAAGAAAGAAAAGGAAAATGAAAAAGAAGGAAAATATTGAAAATGTCGAATTAGAGAATATGGAAACTAATTTATCAAAAAACTTTAAGAATATAATTAATTATCTCGAAAATAAGGACGCTCATCACGATTACAAAGCATCATACCGCAAACATTACCATGAATAATTCAAAAATCGGTTCCTGATATGTTAGTCAGCACCCTTATTCTTTCCAATTCTTTGATTTATAAAGAGTCTTGGTTAGTTTGATTTGTTATCGTGACAATATATTTTTTACTATCAAATTAAGCATAGCGATTGTCGTGATTTCAACTCTTTTTGAAATTTTTTTAATTTTTCACATAAAGGTTTCTGAAAGAGAAAAACATGTCCAAAAAATTGAATTCAGATATCCAGACAATCCCAAAGCGGATCACCCGCCGAACTTCTCGGACCTACGTCTCCGTCAGCTCGAGCTCACGCCGGTGGACCCCTACTCCCCGAAAATGATCAACATCGCCGGGGTAATTTCCATCGTTCTCTTTTACCTGCTGATCTTGGGCGTGGGAATATGGGCGGCCAGGAAAAAAGAAGCGGGCAACGACTCCGAGGAGGAGGTCATGCTGGCTGGCCGCTCGATCGGGCTCTTCGTCGGGATATTCACGATGACGGCGACCTGGGTCGGTGGTGGTTACATCAACGGCACCGCCGAGGCAATCTACACCAGGGGTCTGGTCTGGTGCCAGGCACCCTTTGGATATGCTCTCAGCCTCGTTTTCGGTGAGTCCAATTGTTTTATTTCTCGTGACTGCGTTAATTTTTCATTTCTTTGTCACGCAAAGTACAGTTATTCCGGTAGTACTTTGAAATGTAAAAAAGTATGAGTTTACTCATTTTTCAGTCTTTCTGTTTCTGTGAATAATTTCCCCAAAGATACGGAACGCGAATAAAAATCTCTGTACAATAAACTTTACTTCCATTCATCTTCATCTAAAAGAATTTTAAAAGTTTCACGTAAAATTGATGAATCAGACTTTACTGTTGCCTTTTTGTAATGTTATCCGTACTTGGTCTATTGTTTGGTGACTTTGTGCAATTTAACGTAGCTAACTTTTATTATGTGATCTAATTAATCTTATTTTAGTGCATAAATTCAATGAATATAGTATTAGAAGATTGAAATTAACATATAAATATCAATATTTTAGGATATATAATGCTCAAACCTTCTTTCTTTTTTAATTGAACTTCACTGATTATCCAGTGAAATACATCACTGGGTGATTAGCGAATAGTGGCATACTTGGCACTGATATCAGTGATTATCCACTGATTCAGATTTAGAGAATATAATATTGAAATACATAAAAAATTAAATTAATTCTTATAAGTGGCTACTAATATAAACAAATTAAAACAAAAAGAGCATACAGCCACACGCTGGATCTTGTTGGTAAATTCATTTATTTTGAGTGAAAAGTATACAAAAACGACCTAGACGTTTCGGTCTATTTTAGACCATCATCAGTAGCTAACTTAATTTAATACAATATTTGTTTCAGACTGGTTGCCAATTTCTTACATTGTCGATGTTCTTATATTGTTAAAAATTCCTTTTATTTACTCCCGTTTATGAGTCAATTGGCAATTTTTAATCACATGCTATACATTGTGTAAGTTTGCCTTAATCAGCCGGGTGAACGGTGAAAGTTTACAATCGCAAAGATCGACGATAGAACAATCGTAAGATTGTTGATCGATGGCGTGTCTTTCTTTACACGATGTTGGAATGCTTATATGTCCAACTGAAGAAGTTACGGCGGCCGACAATAGAATTCTTGTAATATAACAGACAGACAGTCGACAGAGTGTTCGCTATCGGCACTCTTGCATATAAAAGTGATAACTTTTTCACCCAATGTCTCGCGCGCAGTCAAACGACCTCGACAAAGAATAAATGCGACTATAACTCCATTGAAAGTCTAGCTTTGCTACGTCTATGAATGATCATCTAGTAGCATTAAGAAAAAATTTAAGATTGTTATTTCTTCAAAATCCGGATCTTTACACGAAAAGAGCGATTTTACTGAAGAATTAAAAAATTTAGCTAGATACAGATTTGAAAATAATTTTTTAGTGTATCAAAATAATTTTGTAAAACTCTTAAACTGGTTGCTAAAATGTTAAAACTTTTTATAACATTGCTCATCATGCTTGAATTTCCTATATAATTATTTTGCTAATCCAACAAAATTATTTTTAGATCTACCACTCAAAAGTTTCAGCATACTCCATTTCTCTTTCCATTTATGGTAATTTCGTAAAATAAAGAATAAAATATAAATACAGTTTGCATGCATTATTTTAAATTTATTATCGCATATGTTAATATATTTGCTAAAATTAATATTTTTCCTCAAATTTTTTATTTTTTCAAGCTTAAGCTCCTTGGATTTTGATAATAGAAACCAAATTATTAGCATTTTGTCGATAAGTTTTTCAAATGTCTTAATCAAAGACTTGTGTTTACTTAATTTCTGGTGCTTAAATTCTGTGAAAACATACATATATTGTTTCCATTCTTTTATTGTTAGTTATTATGATATCCAAACATTGATCAATGTCTACAACAATTGAAGTTGATATTTCTCTTCTGTATACAAGATATTATTCTAGTATTTGATGAAATTATTTCAGTTTCCATAATGAGATATGTCAGTGGAAAAATGTTGTTCTCAATGGTCTTGACTCTCTGTTGCAGGTGGTATTTTCTTCGCGAACAAGATGCGACAGCAGGGGTACGTCACGATGTTGGATCCGCTTCAAGACGCGTTCGGGGAGCGTATGGGCGGCCTCCTCTTTCTGCCTGCTCTGTGCGGCGAGGTTTTCTGGGCGGCGGGTATCCTAGCAGCACTTGGCGCCACGCTGGCGGTCATCATCGACATGGACCAGGGCACTTCCGTCATCCTGAGCGCCTGCATCGCTGTTTTCTACACCCTCTTCGGCGGTCTCTACTCCGTCGCTTATACCGACGTCATTCAGCTCTTCTGCATATTCATCGGTCTGGTAAGTGGTCGATTGAGTTGTCAAATCGTATTAAGTATTTGCAGTTAGTTATAATTACTTGTTTAGTGCAAGCAAATAGTAATGATTGGAAAAGCAATTAAGAACACTCGAACGTATATTTGTGTGTAAACAACTAAATATCATAAAACAATTGTCAATAATTAAAGAGAAATTTATTTAAAACAATAAAGAATAACTTGAAATAAAAATAAAATAAGTCGTTATAATGTACTGTTAAAATTTGATTGCGCGTTTTTTTTAGTATCTTTAGTAGAACAAAATTTTAATAAATGTCACGGTATTTACTTGACCCGTGCAACGCTCGGTCGGACGAGTCTTTGATACAATATAAGCTTCGAAGATAATCGATATCGTGGCTTCGCTACTGCGAGCGTTTGTATTACCAAATTTATACTCGGTGACGTATAGGTGGTGACCCACTTCTCGAAAGAACGTTATCGAGCTATTATTTTAGTGAGACTTCTGCTTCTAACGAAGAGGTTTCCATTACAACGGTGAACTTTAAAGCTTTACAATGCAAAGATCTTATCTTTTTAAACTCTGCTTTTAGTAGATTAATTTATTTGACTAAAATTAAAGTTTTTTTTAAAAGAAGATATATATATATTTCTCATGTTGTTGAATTCGTGCGACTCAAAAATATTTAAATATTAAGAGTATAATTCTGACGTCGTGTTTCCAATTGCATAATCTCATTCTGTTGTATCAATAGAAATTATTGACATAAAATATATGATGTGTATTAATACGTAAAATAATTTATATTATTGAACGAAAATATTTAAATTAGTTATGCTATCCTCTATACGCTTTACTAATTGACTGGAGTTACAATATTACATTCGCAATGCTTTTATTTCGAGCACTACGAAACTTCCCTTTCAAATACCGTTCCGAATGCAAACTCGTCCCTCTGTAGTGAAACCGCCGTCCATTAACTGTAATTAATCGCGATAAATCAGGCCTTTCAGAAATAATCAGAGTAGCGATATAGATCCTGTGTCTGGAAAAGATATTTGAAAAGCTTGTATCAATCAATTAGAGATTAAAGTCCGCTTTATATGTGTCCAGTCTTACAAAAAAACCGTCTAAAAGAACATTTGAAACGAATTGAACATTTACTAAATTATTTCGAAATTCTATTAATATAAAAATTCTTTTTATAAAATAGATATTATTTTAAACATCAACAGTTTAGTAAAAATAATCATCTTTTTCTCAAAATATTAAAGAAAAATGCGAAAAGTCTAGAGTAATTTTTAGAAAATCACACACTATAAATAATATTTTATTATTAACTATTTATTTTATTATTGACAAAATATATTCTCTTATCGAATTTTTTAAAATTTTATATATTAAAATGATGGAAATCATTTTTTGTCAATAGTGGATGTGTATCCCGTTCGCTTGGTCCAATCCGAAGGTACAATCCCTTAGTTCCATGGACGTTGATTGGATCGGCAAAGTGAGTCCCGAGGAATATTGGTATTATTTGGATTACGGTTTACTTTTGATATTCGGCGGTATACCTTGGCAAGTGTACTTCCAACGTGTCCTCTCCTCGAAAACCGCGGGGAGAGCTCAAGTATTGAGTTACGTTGCCGCTATGGGTTGCATCCTGATGGCCATTCCCCCCGTTTTGATTGGAGCGATTGCCAAAGCAACTCGTGAGTACGCATTTAATTATTGATTAAAGTGACGTTATACAGTTAACATTGTATGCAATATATATTCGCAATACATGTTAATTGAAGCGATAAATTGGAGAGTTCACTGGTCCGTCACGCCGTAAAATTTTGTAAAAAATATTTTTATCACGTTATATGTCTCCTTCAAGAATATTTAAATTTTATCGCGTCTTTAAATTAAGTACTTCTCTTTTGCGTTATCTTAATAATGAATAAGTTTAAAATTTAAATACATCATTTAAGCGACTATTTAAATAAAACGTGCAAATGTTAATTCGGCGTTCTCTCATTTCCTCGGAGAAAGATGTCTTAAGATCTTTCTTGCGTTGGGAAAGAACTCAATTTGAGAGGGTATTAATAATAAAATGAGGCGTTTCTGGTTCTCTCGAAATCGTCGCCGTCTCGCTCGAGGGTAGTAACATGATCCATCCCCCTTCGCAAACCTCCTGCTCCTCGTTCGAGAGGATCGAATTAGAAGCCGGGTTGCCCGTCGTCCCACGCTTCTCCTCGCATTCGGAGGCTACTTGACATTTGGTGGCTCGACAAAGAGAGAACTGCTGGTATTTACAAGCGGTTGGCGAACGCGAAGGGCGCGGACGGCCGAGGGGTGTCTCGGGTTGTACTCGCGTGCGTGCACAATAGCGTGGGACCCCGCCATGTGGCGTTGCTTTTGCGAGGGCGAGGGTGAATGCGGCGACTCGCCCGTTGTAGCGCAGCTACGTCCCCGGAACTAATTCGGTACCCTGTACCGGTATGTTGCGGAAGGATCCCGTGCATGGCTGGCAAGAGAGATAGAGAGAGGAAGAAAGTACCTACGGAACTTTGAATTACGCGGGCGTGACGTCAAACAAAGACGGTAGATAGGTGAAACAAGCGGCGATACAAATCGAAGCAACAGACAAAGACAAGAAATTCTCCTTTGCCCTTTAGAAATCATATATTATTCTGACTATTAGTCATATATATAGGGCAGCTACAGAATACAATACGGTATTCCTGCATTAGTATGCATTAGAAACATCTCACAATCATGCAGATTGGTGGCAAAGAGAAATGAGATTAAATTTGACAAACGATATACATGTATATAGTCATGATAAGGATATTAAGATAAATGAGAGGAGCAGTGATGAAAATTTAATTAACCAACGCAAACAAATGTTATTTAAAAGAAGCTACGTGTTAATTGTACAATAATTATGTCGCAGCTTGGAACGAGACGGAGTATACTGGTCCTTATCCTTTCACGGAGACGGAAACCAGCATGATTTTACCGTTGGTCTTGCAACACCTGACACCGGACTTCGTTTCCTTTTTCGGGCTGGGGGCGGTATCGGCGGCGGTGATGTCTTCTGCGGACAGCAGCATCCTCTCTGCTAGTTCGATGTTTGCTAGAAACATTTATAAATTGATCTTCCGTCAGCGGGTGAGTTTTTTAGCTGCATCTCGTGTGAAATTTCAGCTTCATTCATGCATGTGGTGAAACCACTACTTGACACAACGTGCCGCTCGTGTCGATGCATATCTTTAATGCGTATAAGGCAAAACTTTATAACAAGCTCGTAAAGTTCTTCGCGAAAGTTTGTCATGAACTGCACGACGAAAATTAGTTCGTAATTACGTCGATCTTATTTCACCTTTTTTAACTTGTGATTAATCCTCTAAGGGCGAGTGTTGCAATTATGTGCAACGTTCACTTTAAACAATTACAATTCGTATTAGATCGAGAATAAATCAATTAAGGGAAATTAATTTATTTTCGATCAAAGCGGATCTTAGTGCTTAAATATTTCAGAGTGAATTTATATACATATCCAATTCTGCGAACCGTGGACACAAAACTTTTCTTGAAACGCAATTATGAGTAGAGCTAGAGTGATAATATCACATATTAAACTGACAAATAATTTGATAACTCTTTTGATGCCAAAAGCATCTCAAAAGGATATTAATAATTTTATGTTAATTTAAGCATCTTGAGAATTGTAAATAATTTAAATTCATCCACTTTGAAATATTTAAGCAATAAGATTAAAAAATAGGTTCATTCCCCTTTAATTTAATTTAAAATTAAATTCAGGATAAATTCGGGATCGCTATAAATTAGTTATACTTAAGAAAATAAGAACTGAAAATGAAAATAGCGTTAAACATTGAAGTACAGTACCTACTCTTACTCACTAGAAAGGTTATACGCCGATATATGTATCGATAATGTAAATATCGATAGATAGATTCTTCACTTACCAGTTATTTTTAAGCAAAGGCAATAAAAAAGTTATTTTATGACAAGACGATGTCGCCTCTAGAAGGTTAATACAAAGATAATAATTACTTAATAATTAATATATAATTACTTAATACAAAGATAATAATTTAATTTTTTTTCTATCTAACTTTATTTTACTCTCTTGTAGATTACGATTATTTTTATTGTTTAAGTATTTTTATGTTTTTAATTGAGAATTCCTAAGTAGTTTTTAATCAATACTATTTCTACATGTATACGTATTACGCAGTGAAGGTATTGCATCATTGCTGTGCACTATCTTAATTACGCCAACTTTTGATTATACTCGCGTGTCGATTCATCATATCTGCGCCGTTGTTAACTATAACTATTTTTGTGAAGTTTAACACATGATAGAACAGGGCCGTTGAAAAAGTTTTTGGAGCCTAGTGCAAAGATAATGATGGCTTAGCACTGGGAGCCGTGGAATGGTGAAATGAAAAGCAAACATGACGGACTACTTTGCACTACGGTCCTGTGATAGAATACGTGTATTTCCTTAGAACTTGACGCAATGTTCTTCCCAATTTCTTTTATTCTCCTCGATATTGGACTCACGTGGAGGCGCGATCTTTACACCCTCTGTGCAGGCGTCAGAGATGGAGATCATCTGGGTGATGCGAGCGGGAATCGGCGTGGTTGGCGTACTGAGCACCGTGATGGCCCTCACGATACCGTCGATCTACGGCCTCTGGTCCATGTGCTCGGATTTGGTCTACGTGATTCTGTTCCCGCAGCTGCTGATGGTGGTGCATTTCAAGGACTATTGCAACACCTACGGCAGTCTATCAGCGTACATAATCGCCTTCCTGGTGCGCGTCAGCGGCGGCGAACCGATGATGGGGTTGCCCCCGCTAATACGCTACCCGGGCTACGACGAGAAGACATCGACGCAAATGTTCCCATTCAGGACAATGGCGATGCTGATGTCGCTAATAACTCTGGTGGGAGTGTCGTATGGCACGCAGTTCGCCTTCCTGACCGGGCGGCTCGCCCCGGGTTACGACGTCTTCAGATGCGTGGTGAACATCCCGGAGGACGTCGAGCGAGTGGGCCCGGACCCGGCCGAGGGTGAGCAGATGGCGGTCCTAGCTGCGGGTGTCGGCAGGCTCTACGGCAGCAAGGACGAATCGAACGGCCGAGTGAATCCTGCGCTCGAGCCGGACTACGACATGGAGCCGGGATGTACGATGGTCGGAGGTACAATGGACGGCATCGTCTGCGACGGCGGTGGCGGCGGCGGCGGCGGCTCGGCACCTGGTGGTGGACACCTGGTGCCACATGTGCCCGGCGGCGCTTCCCGTCAGCCACAATCCAGCACCGCGTTCTAATTCCTGGTTCCGTGATCGGATGCTGTGACCAACAATAAGTGCGGCGGTGCGGGTCTCTCTGTCTTTCGTCTCCACCCTCCTCTCACGATCCTCTTCTCTTGCTCCCTCCCGTCTGCGTTCGGAACCTCCTGCAGTCGGCTCTCTTCGAACCGTGCTGCTTCTTTCAGCGGTATGTTTATTTAATTAAATCTGACGGTTTCCTCTTAACTCTCGACAGCATAAATTTTTAACAAATGTTATAAAAGATCGTTCCAAGTGTTAAGTCTCTGAGAGGGGCCTTATTTCGATCAGTTCCGCGTTAATATCGTTACATTTAAGATGTGTCTTGAGATATTTTATTTGCCAAAGATAATTATTAATCAAATAATTGCTGAAATAATTCCGAAGGAAACTCTTGAACAAGAATTAATACTAGAACGTCTCTAATTCGCCTGCGCGTTGTTTTGCATCTTGAATCTAGTCTATCGACACAAGGCGCGTAATCATATAATATACATTTAGCCAGCATTGCTTCTTCTCTAATCTAATGTGTCTCCGAGGAAACTGCGAAGATAATTATCGCAATGATTATCGTAGATAGTCGGAATTGTTAACGGCAGAAATTGTCTCTTTCCCTGGGAGGGTCGTTCTAGTGTTAATCGGTTTTTTCCGACTTTCCCGGCTGATTACGTAAACCCATGTTCTCCTGTTTTCCAGTTCACTTTTCCTTTTTCTATCCGCCTTACGTCCACGGAGCTCCGAGATGAGCCAACAATGCGGTGGCCTGCGGTAAGTCTGATACGAAATTTCTTTCGTACTCGCGTATATGTGAGTGTGTATTTGTGTGTGCGTGCGTGTATGTGTGTGCGCGTGTTTGTGTCTATGCGTGAGTGTGCGCGCGTGTATCCGCATGTTGCTGGTGCCCGTCTAACGATCTGTACCTGCCCGCGTCCGCTCGCGTTCGTGTTCCCAATTCCCATCGCTGCTCAGAAAAAGCAATAAACTAATGAGAAAATGGGGATCAAAAAGGGGGGGACAGAAAGTGGAAGAATAAGGTGATTGGAAAGTACACGCGAGCGGCAAGGGGATAAAGCGTAGCGTTTCCAAACCGGAAGTCGGAGCTTCGGGCGTATTCAGGCCGGGCGTTCCCTACCCCGCACCGCCAATTAGGCCTAGTGATTTCCTTGTTTTCTTTTTGGAGAGGTATATATATATATATAATATAAGTATAGAGAAAATCGTGAGGATTGCGAGGGTTCTTATCGGGGCTCAGTCGATCGGCGCGTGGCTTCTCTTCGTTATAGAAATTAATTAGATCGAGCGGTCAACGTGTTTATATAAGTTTGTATGCGGGGTCGTAGACGTATCGCGTACTTTCTCTCAATTCTCTGCGTGCACAGAATGACGTGCGAGAAAGAATCATGAAATTAATATCAGTCGTGATCTCTGATCTCTATGGATAATAAACTTTAATTATCGTTTAACGTCATGAGGATTTCATCTGACCGGATCTCGAAAGCTTAGTAATGGACGTATCTGAAAGTTGCCAAGTGAGAGATGACGAGAAGATGTATGCGATGTGTTTGAAGTACCCTACATATTTTTATTTCATGTTTCGGTGAATGTGAATATCTGAATTTTATTTAATATAAACTTTTATTTGAAGTTTTATCTTATATATTAATATAAACTTTTAATAGAAGCAAATATGAAATGCATTTTAAACGAAAATGTGAAATAAATATCAAATAGTCACATTTAGCAGAAGCGTGCGATAAAAGTACGTTCTGATTAATATTTATCGTCAATCCAGTATTGAAAATAACCGATTTAATATTAAAATATTGACAGTTTCCTTAACATTTATTGACAAATGGATATTATTATATTTTTCAAATATTATATTGTCTCGTAAGAGTTTTTGATAATTATTGTTGTTAAAAAAAAAATATATATATATATACACGTTTTCCTTTTCTAACAATAAAATATTTTAAATATTTCAGCATTGATATTAACCCTCGGTACATTTTTAAGCCTGCGGCACACGATGTATGCTTTCCTGTTGGATTGTTTCAGTAAATTACTAAAAATTCTACGTTCCGTGTGGTGCAATTATAATAATTTACTAAAACGCAAGCAATCCAGCAGGAAAAAAAATCATTGTGCGCCGCAGGTTTTAGTAATAATCCTGAATATTTCTTGATTTTGGAATAGCGACGATAAATATCGATCGATCGGACACTCCTTCAAGGCACGTTAGAAGAGAAACCCCGTCCATCTAGTATGCCATCCTTCTATCGCCTCTTTCACTGCAATTAGTTCGCGCTATAATTAGTTAACGTGCGTCGTAATGTCGAGTGTCCATGTTGGTGTTAGAAGAGGAGGTAAAACGAAGCTTTTGTACTTGCGATCGATCGTTCTTCCCTCGCTTCGCCCAGTCGTACAGAAACACACGAGTCACGAACACACACATACATATTCATCTATACGTGCTAACGTAAAAGAAACACGTTGTATAATAGATGCGTCGTTAGAATCGGAGGATGATCTAGCACGACCGTTCTCATCGTAGAATTTTACGTTCCCTCGCGGCTCACGTGCGAGGCCGATCTTGTTATCGACCATTAAAAATAAGTGGCTGTATGCTAGATTGAAAATTATTTCACTTTTAAGAAACTTAAAGACGTTCTTATGCCTGATTTGAGACACACATATAAGAAATGAGAAAGAACATCAAGTAATACTTTATATAAATTAACTGTGTAACGTCATATTAAAGTTTAAAAAATTTTCCAGATTAAGAATCGAAATTCTTGTAACATATTTTTAAGACTAATACTTCGTGTTTAGAAATCTTTCTGAATTATTTTTATATTAAGTAGTGATTAATTAATAATTATTTTATGAAAAAGACGGACTTTCGATATTGAAATAAAATTTACACACATAAAAAATTAATAACAGTACAGCGCCATATTTGGTGCGCATAAAGTTCACGAATATATAATTCTAATTAAATATTACAAATATCGAACGTTTCGTTTCGAAAATTACCAAATTAATTATTGTGATATTAAAAAATGTTTTAAATATGTAACAGCATTAATTTGTCTGTCAAAATTATTTTATACTATTGAGTTTCTATTTTGCTCAAAAAAGTTTCTTATTTTTTAAAATACATTATTAAATTATAGCATTAAATAAAAAAAATTATTTGATGGATTATCTCCGATTGCAACATATTTACGTTTCTCCTTGGAAGCACAGCTTTTTCGTCGGCGGCATCGTCACTGCATTCGTGCGTCAAACGTGAGCCGCGGAGTTTCGTCAGGCAGACCGTTCGTAGTGCAGGTCCGTTATGTTTATCATATAGTATATAATAATATAAATATATGATATAAAAATTATGAGCGGTAAGTACAGTAAAGAGCGAGAGAGATGGGTGACTTAGTGACGAGGAAAGAAAATATAGACCGCTCTGTCTCTCTCTCAATATATATATTATACATACACGTTATACATACACGAGAAGACTAAATCCATAGGTGTTAATATCGCAGGTACGAGTTATCGCCATCATTGTTATTTCGAGGATCCGTTTGTTACGTGGTTCACATATATATATTATATATATGTGTGTGTACATTATATTATAGCACCGATATCGAGGTCGCTATACGCAATACGCATAAAACGCCTAGAAAAATATGTAATATATTTACGCTCGTTATACCTGATTGCTCATGTATTATATATCATTTGCCGCCAAAGGATGAGAACATCGCGTTTCGAGACTAACGTCGGCGTTAAGGACGAATGTTGAAATCTAAAACTGATTGTTTTTGAACAAACCCCATTAGAAAAATAATTAAACGTAAGTAAGAAGAGTGGGATGTGACATACATAATTAAAAAGAACAAGAAATATTTTTCAAAATTGTTACCTCTTATGTTAAACTGAAACATAACTCACGAAGTAGAAAGGTGATGTTTTAATAACGTCTTACTAACGTTAAAGACGTCATTAAGACATTATTAAGACGTCATTTGAGATCACTTTGCTACTTGGATCCATTGCTTTTCACGCAGATTCGTTTCCGATTGATTATAGTCTCCAGAGATCTTTTAATTAGAGTGGCCATGACAAAGGTCCGACATTTTTCGCCAAAATTGCGCGAGTGAGAAAAGACATGTCGCACTTTCTAAATTCTTTGAAGTGGAATCTCACTCTAAGGAGTGAAAATTAGCAAGTCTTGAAAAAGAGTGGCTCAATTTTCAATCTTTAAGAGTGAGGTTTCACTTTTCAGAGTGAGCTTTCACTCTAGAAGTTTTAGAGAGTAAGAGTACCAGGTGTAACATTGCGCATAATGGCGGTTGAATATAATATTTGGGTCGAATTTCTGGATGGTGGCAAATTTCTCATAGCGTTACATTGGCTTATAAAAGTTTTTTTTTTTTTACATAGTATACTTATTCTTTTCTTATACAGCATGAAAAAAATGTATCTTGCCCAAACATAGGTTGCTATCTTACAGTCAGACTTTGATTGGAAGGTTTCTATGATTGACGGTCCCAAAGGTTTCCTGAAAGATGCGAAATTTCAAACGTATTCGTGAAGATTGGATCTCGAAACGCGATGTTGTGTGCGTAATGACGGGATGAGATACTTTAGATAATTTCGTACAGATAGTACAGTGTTTTTATACTTAGTTCCTACTCACCCGACGAATTGTGATAAGCGTCTGACTTGGCGATCCTGTAAAATTCAACGCGATTAAGTTTTCGAGCGTGTCGTGTGATCGTTTTCCGTTCAACATTGTTGCGTGAATAATTGATCGGTCCCGTTCATCGTGCTTGCAAAATAGTTACCTACCATTTTCCTCCAGACAGAATGCGTATCGGTTATTTCTAGAGTAGCGTGTGAACAGAGTATATTTTTCTAGTTCACAAAAACGCGTTTTTATTCCCGTTAGATCAGGATTTTCCGCTCGTCGATGGACTCGCGTTAAGAGACCTGCCTCCGTGTTAAATTTTTAAATGTGCAAGATTGTTAATTCGTTTAACTCGTAGACAGATAGTAGATATGAAAGTACATGGAACTCTTATATATGTTTGAGATATCAGAAATTTTAATATCGACATCAAATATCAAATAATGTTGGACAAAGGTGCTTTCAAATAACTTTAACATATCAAGAAAACGAAGGAAAATAACGTATTTACAGTTCAAATGTCAGGAATTTTTAAAGGGCTTCTTGTACTTCAACGACGCAGCGATTTGCATACAATAGAAGTCCCTGATATAATATTCTAAAGCATTAAGTCATTAAAAATATTATCTCTTTGTATGTATGTGAGTGATATGCACGCGTGTTCGTGTATGTGTGTGCGTGTGTCATTTTTGTTAAGTATTTATTTTATTTTAAGTATTTTAAGTTGAAGAATATTTTACAGGGTGTCCCAAAATTAGCTACTCAAAATACTATAGAGAGCAAGAAAATTTTTGAAAAATTAAGTCTAAATGTTATTAGTAAATTTTTATTTCAGGCGATAATTTTTGAGATAATAAGGGAAGAGATAAAATTTAAATATAGTCAGTTACGGACTACATTTAGACGGCCACCTGTCCGTGAATCTCGATAGTATTAGTAAGCGTTCTCTAGCGCACTCACTAATACTGACAGATGTCCATCTAAACGTAGTCTGTAATCTTGGCTATATTAGAATAGAATAGAATTTCATTCTCTTCAGTATTTATACAAAGAGGGAACTTGCCCTACAATCGTTGTTCCTATCTCACTCATCCATCCATACCTTTCTCATACGCTTTCCTACTTTAAATTGTTTATTACTTCTGTCTTTCTTTCTACCTTTATTATTGCTCTTTAATCTGATCTGTCTTAAATATATTATACACAGCCATAGTACACACAGTAACACATCCAGTACACACAGTAATTGACATATTTAAATTTTTATATAGAAACTATTGCTTAAAATAAAAATATTTACAAATAACTTTTTTACTTAATTCTCCGAAAATTTTTTTTCTAGTATTTTGAGTCGCGAATTTTGGGACATCCTGTATATAAACGTGTTCATATTTTCTTTTCACTTTCCGGAAACTGTTTACGACCGGATTTCTTTCCGAGGTAACTCGTTCAAATCGCTTGGCACTTCGTTCTGCATTCAAGATCACGCGCGTCTCTTCGTTCGCGAACCTCTTCTTCCGCGGTGTTCTCCAGCGGAATTGAAAATACCCTCGAGGAGAAGGGGGTTTCACGGATCTCCGGCGATTTGCCGGAAGTGGCCTAGCCGTTTTCCGCCGCGCGTCGTCGTATTATCCGCTCGTTAAGTCGGAGATGCCGTACGGAGGTGAAATTACGAGCGTGCGACGCGACGGCGCGATTCGAAACGTGAGGAACGGAGCTCGCTATGCGATACGAGATCGTGAAGGAGGGGGAAGGAGATACTCGTGGATCTCTCGCTGTGCAGCATGCATCTCCCGTGCGCTTCCGTTCGTCCGTCCGTCGTTAGTACGGCTCCGCGTACTTTCACTCGGATATTAGAGACGATGACGAGCGCGCCGGCTGGCTAATCCGTGACGCTCGTGGACGAAGAGCGCGCGCGCGATGAAATTATTATCCTTATATTCCTGTCGAAGCACGAAAGTATCGCGCTACAATGAACCGCGTGCGAAGACCGCCCGTCTCGCTTCTCGCGCCAGGAATACGAAAGTATCACGAACACAAGTATCGCGAATTATTTTTCTACGCAGCGCGTTTCCCTTTTCAACCATTCGTGAATTTTCCGGCGAGTTCGGAGTCAAGAGATAATCGTCTTGATTCGTTTCAAACTATCACAGTTTAGAACTCGAATATTTTGAAATACGGAGATTTGCGTATCTCCATTTTTCGATTTACATGAACGATGATAAGGAGGACTTTAATGATCTCTCGTCTTGATCGTAGACTTTAATTATTGACCCAACACGGGACGAATCTTCAAGTTCCTTAATCAGGTTCTTAAATGGGAATAATTAATTAATTAATTAATACATTACATAATAAATCTGGAACGTAAGTCTTTGATTTGTTGCTTTCCTGAGTTTTTGCATCTCTTACATTTTTATGCGTTTTTTATATTTACACTCAAGAAACTAAGATAGGGAGAAATTGTGGATTTCAATAATTATCGGTCATTCATCTACACTTCGTTTCGATCGAGCGTGATAATGAATTCGCTTGTCTCGATATAGATATTTGTGCTTCGAGGTTGATCTCCCATCGTTTCTTTTGTACGAATTTAAGACAGGTGGAGGAGTCGCGTGTTGAGAATGTGGGAGAAACTAGTAGACATTATATAATAGCTTATGAGAATGCTCTCATAAGACGGCCACGTATCATTTACATATCAATCAACGTACGTTGTAATCGGCGACGCAACGAGAAACCTATACATATCATAAAGTGTGCTCTATTGTATATTAGATAATTAGTCGCGAAGAGGAGGAAATAATAAGATAAGACTATGTGTATATATAACATATATCCTTTAGGACGAAAACGCTCGACGTTCTTGGGGTGAAAGGGGATACTTGTGCTTATTCTACTACCACGAGTGTCCTTGTTGATCTTTATGCGCGTAGCTTCATGCCGAGAAACTCTTAAGAGAAAGAATTTTGGAAATCTTGTTAAGGGTCTTGTAGATTATTTAAAATGAATATTTTTTAGAATTGCAATATAAATGACTGAAGTAAAACAAAGTTTTTTGAGATCACTGCGTGTTTCTTCTTGTCAACATAAAGAATCTTTATAATTAAGAATACAAATTATAATTTCAATGGACATCTATTTTATACATTTCAGCTATTTGCAAAATTATTTTCTTCTTGCCTTTGACGAATTTTTTTTAATTCAAAGGGAATGAATTTTATCAATTTCTCAAGAAGCTCGTGCATCCAAGGGTCTATCATTCCCCGCAGAATGACGTTGTTTCGTTGCAAAGTATTATAAAATCGCGAGTCGACAGCCAATCTGTGTCGTGCGAATACGAAAATGCGAAGAGGCTCGAATAAGAATTAGCGAATACGATCCCTCAACCAAACCGAGATCGTCGTTCACTTTCCCGCTTGGAGACCAAAATGGCGTACTTAATATTGCGCGTCCCAAACGCACGGGGTGACTTACCTAATTACGTAGAATAATTTATTAAACATGTAAAAAGCAAAGCGTCCCCTGACTCACCCTCTCCCTTTCCTCCCCATCCCGCCCGGAGGAGTATATCCATGTATATGTATTGCAGAAGCGTTACTGTATTATATGACATTATACGTGTATAATTGACAAACGAAAGAGATGTTGATTGTAAATGTTAAAAATAAACGGTGTACAAAAATGTCGGGCGGTTCATATTTAGCGTGGCAATGTGCGGTTTCCATATAGTTTCGAGACGAGTTGTAGTCGACAACTAAAAGATAGCTTTTCAAGTACCTCCTGTACTTCTCCTTCTCCAAGCACGACCCAAGGCAGAGTTGATTAATTTATCTTGAAGACACTGGCAAGCAGCGTTTAGCGTCTTGAAGGAATAACGTAACAGCAGGTAAGACAAGCTCCAACAAGGAATACTTGAGAAAACGTGAACTTCTTTGGAATTATAAATTTGCAGACGAGACGGATTAGCAACTTAAATATGGTAAGATCGTTGTATGAATAAACTTCAAAGAACACATAGTTGAATCCCTTCTAAGTCTTGAATACCACCTCGGTGTTTTGGCGTTAACCTTTGCATCCTTTAAAAGAGCATGAACTCTGATATTTCAAGAGGGTTGAGAATTATATGCACCTAAACTGTGCAAAGAGTTAAATTTTTAAGAGGGGTGGAAAAAATAAAATTTGGAGAATTTAGTAAGTGGTACTTGTGTCAATTCGTCAACGTAGCGTATAACACAATTTCGTACATAACTGCATGTTCGTTTAAACGAACAGAGCTGATTAGAAGGTACTTTTGGTAAAATTGTTATGTTGACTTACTTTTACTGTACGAGTACCGAACTTTACGTTCTTATCATATTTACGTTTCTCACCTCTGAAGAGGCAACGTAATATTAAATATTAATAATACTACGTGTTACACGGATAAAACGAGTAGATCCGACGATATTTTAAAATTTATAGATCACATCCAGAAGAAACCTTGAGGTATCTTAATTTTTCAATGGCTAAGGTATTTATAGTCGATTTTTATATTTAAGATCGTCTTGAGTACAGTCTGAAGATATCATAAACCAATCACCATATTTTAAGACATTATTTAAGATCTAGTCTTGAAATAAAGACGGACTATGAATCCTGGCCACAGAGTTGTATCAACATCTTAAGATATTACTTGAGATGATCTTAAAATAAGAACCAACAACTACCGACCTAAGAGCTTTGCAATGGCCATGCATATCGCACACTTCGGTTTTGTTGGTCGACAACGTGATTATGGGACAGGACTCGCGCCATCACATTCGCGAAGTTCTCGATATCAATATGCGCTTTTAGACGCTCGACAGTAGGAATAGAAAGAGAGCTCTTAGTTATTCATGCCCTCCCGGTATCCGAGCCGTGAGAATCGATAAATCGACCGTGTCGGCCGACTAACCTTATACCGAGCTCTTCTTCGTCTCGCTGATCATCTTCCTTTGGGTGTAGAGACTTAGAAAGAGAGTTCTTCTTAAAGCGGGAACCGTTTCCGAAAATTGAGATAGTTAATGGGCAAAATCAACCATAAGGAGATTTTATTATTTGAAAAAAGAGGAAACAGTTGCGTGACCAGAAAGATAAGATTAAATCCGGAATTCAGGTCTTTAACTTAGATTGACTTACAACACGAAGATAATTAATTATATAATTAAAAAGACCTCATGAAATATAAAGGTAGGAGATTTCCTAAAAAAAGATTAATTTCTGGTACAACGAAACGGGATGAGCAAAAAGTTGACAAATTGACGAGATTCCTTATCAGCATAGCGGCTTTATTATTAGTACAAAAAAGCGTCTTTACAAAATAAATAAGTTACAGGCTCCGAATGTGGAAAATCGAGTTTTCTCGTTTGTTTTCCTTTCTTCGTTTTCTTCTTCTTCTTTCTTTTCCTCGCTTTTCTTCGACGTCGACGGAAGTAACGTTCCATAAGCAGACGCTTTCCTGGAAGCCGGTACATGAAAGTGGTAATAACATTAAAGAAAGGGAAAAAAAATAACTATCTTATTCTTTCGGCCGTTCGCGGGAACGCGCCTGCCATCGGGACGAGTATTCCTTCGCTCACAACTTTCCCGACTGAGAACTCATCGCTGTTAAATCTTTAGCACGAATTTCACGATGCGGCGAACGATCCTCGCACGTTTCTCCCGTCAGCTGTTGTCATACAGATGTTCCCGTGGAAAAACTCAAATATATCTATGTGATTGTTGGAGGACACATTCGATGATATAACAACGGGATGCCTTCAGCGTTGATCTTCTCTGATCTTTATTCACAATGTTATCATGTCCGAGATTATCTCTTCGTAACTGCGGACACCAAGGCCATCATCTTTCGATTAAAACTAGCCTCTTGGATCGACACGTCTCTTTTCTGATAACACGTAGTCGATCAAGTTGATCGATCGAACTGACGAGTCTTGTGGTTGCGATAGTTTCGGTTTGCGTTGTTCAACGCGGAAAACCTGGTGGAAGCCGACGCGATTGAGCACGGAGATCGTCTCGCCGGGTGAACACATATCTGGATTAGTATTGGTATCCTCCATTGCTGGCGTAGCTCTGTCCGCCACCTCCACTTGGAGCACCATAAGACGACGACGGTCTGCCGCCGCCACCGCCACCACCGGAGTAACCGCCACCACCACCGCCGGAATAACCGCCACTACCGCCTCCGGAGTAACCACCAGAGCTGAGGATAACGACAGCAAATCATGAGAAAAACTTTTAATTGGCAGATTGAAAAAATCAATGATAAAAGAAGTACGGAGAATAAATAAGAAGTTATAACTTAATTTTTTTTAATTGAACAAAGTTGGTAAAAAATTAATATACCCCGAATTAAATAAACAAAGATCATGATTTCAATGTTTTAATTATAGATGTTTATATAATTGGAGCTGAAACATTGTGATATTGAAAAAAGAAAATTCATTGAGATGGTGTCTTGCATAAAACAAAAAAAAACAGTCTTTGATTTTTTTATCGAATAGTTTTGCGTTATTATATCTTACCCTCCGCCGGAATATCCGCCGCCACCACCACCAGAGTA